GTGGGTTGGGGAGGGGTCTCGGGGGGGTCTCTGTGGGTTGGGGAGGGGTCTCGGGTGAATTGGGGAGGGGTCTCGGGGGGGTCTCCAGGTGTCACCTCCGTGTCCCCCCCCCTCATTTAGGTGGCCATCAAAATCATCGACAAGACCCAGCTGAACCCCACCAGCCTTCAGAAGGTGGGGAGGGGTCCCGGGGGCACCCCGGGGGGTTCTCCTAATTTGGGGAGGGGTCCTGGGGGGGTTCCCCTAATTTGGGGAGGGGTCCTGAGCCCCCCCTGCTGATCCTTCTCGTCCCCCCCCAGCTGTTTCGGGAAGTTCGGATCATGAAGGGGCTGAACCACCCCAACATTGGTAATTGGGGAGGGGTCCCGGGGCTGGGGAGGGGTCCCGGGACTGGGGAGGGGTCCCGGGGCTGGGTCCCAGAACTGGGGAGGGGTCCCGGGGTTGGGGAGGGGTCCCGGGGTTGGGGAAAGGTCCCGGGACTGGGGAGGGGTCCCGGGGCTGGGTCCCAGAATTGGGGAGGGGTCCCGGGGTTGGGGAGGGGTCCTGGGGTTGGGGAGGGGTCCCAGGGCTGGGTCCCAGAACTGGGGAGGGGTCCTGGGGTTGGGTCCTGGAGTTGGGGAGGGGTCCCGAATTGGGGAGGGGTCCCGAATTGGGGAGGGGTCTCTAAACTGGGGAGGGGTCCCGGGATTGGGGAGGGGTCCCGGGGTTGGGGAGGGAGGGGTCCCGAATTGGGGAGGGGTCTCGCGGTGACCCCCCTGTGTCCCCCCCAGTGAAGCTGTTTGAGGTGATCGAGACGGAGAAGACGCTGTACCTGGTGATGGAGTACGCCAGCGCAGGTGACACACCTGGGGACACCTGGGGGGACATGGGGACACCTGGGGACACCCTGGGGATGCCCTGGGGATGCTCTGGGGACACTGTGGGGACACCTGGGGACATCCTGGGGACACCCAGAGATCCTGGGGTTCCCATCCCCCCCAGGTGTAGATTTTGGGGTGTTTTTGGGGTGTTTTGGGGTTCCCATCCCCCCCAGGTGTAGATTTTGGGGTGTTTTTGGGTGTTTTGGGGTTCCCATCCCCCCCAGGTGTGGATTTTGGGGTGTTTTGGGGTGTTTTGGGGTTCCCATCCCCCCCAGGTGTAGATTTTGGGGTGTTTTTGGGTGTTTTGGGGTTCCCATCCCCCCCAGGTGTGGATTTTGGGGTGTTTTGGGGTGTTTTGGGGTTCCCATCCCCCCCAGGTGTAGATTTTGGGGTGTTTTTGGGTGTTTTGGGGTTCCCATCCCCCCCAGGTGTGGATTTTGGGGTGT